GAATACCTTGGGCACCAGCATGGAGGGGCAGGGGCAACTGAGGAGGCCCCTTCTCACTGCTCCAGGCTCTCCAAGGCCATCTGGGCGTCATGACAACATGGGCAGGAAGCTGCTGCCATGGTAACTAGCGTCCAGGGAGGCGCGCTGCCTAGCAACGTGGGCCACGGTTCCCCACCCTCCAAAAAACTATGTTTCGGCTGGCCACACTTTCCACACACAAGGCTGGGAATTCCAGCATCTAGACAGTACTCCAACCTGAGGCAGACTCACCCTCTTCCTGCATGAACATCCTAGAGCCCTCACTGGATGTGGACACCTTATTCCCTCCCRAATCCAGGACACCTAATTACATGGCACTGGGCATACGTTAGCATATCTTGCCCTGTGAGTGGGAAGYCCACTATGGCTGCAGATCCAGTGCTCCTTTCTCCCTCTTAGAGTCCCCATACACACTCATGATGATCTTCAGGTCTGACTTTCTTTGGTACCAGACTTCTAGACCAGGCACAGCACAAAGAAAGGTAGGGTGATCAGGGAGTGTGGAGCTTCCAGGCTGAGAAGGGAAGCACCCTGGGGTCGTAAGTGGCAGGAGGACATAAGTGCTTCTAGGGTATCCAAGATACTTCCTCATAGTCACTAGAAGATTGCAGCCTAGCAGGGTGCAACCTGAGGATCTCACTCAGCAGTTCACCCTTGTGCCACCATGTCATTGTCATTATTACAGGAGTCATTGAACATCCTGAATACCTACTGGGCACCTAGCAGCCTAAGGAACACAGCACACTGTCCCCCATGCCAGCTTCTCAGGGCCTTTGCCGATGCTGTGCTCCCAGTTCCCACCCATGGCCCATCTCACCTCAAAGGCCCTCCAAGAGCCCTTTCGTGGTCCCCATCTCTGAGTTGAGCACCACCCAAGACCCATGAAATCCCAAAGGGGAATGAACAGGCCGGTGTCAGGAGAGGGCCCTTGGAAGCTTCTACCTCCCTCTTGGGTGCTGAGCAAACAGCCGCCCAGGAAGCTAAGGAGAAACTCAGGAAGCCACTGATTCAGGTTCCTGACCCTTCCTATCACATGGGTCAGAGCCCATTGCTACAGGATGCACATATGTTGCCCTGTCCCTGGAAATGCATTTTAGCCTCCTGCACCAGAGGCACATGTATCCACTTGGGTCCACTATGAGCCACCATTGCCGTCTTTGTGCATCATCTCCTCTGTCCGTGAGACCCTCAGTGCCTCTGGCTATATATCTTCCCTATGTGGAGAAGAGAACAGGAGAGAGGCCATATAGAAACGAAGGATTTCAACAAACGTTTGCAGAAGGAAGTAGGGACTGACAGGGGAACAGCCTGTGCGGAAACCAGGGAAGGGTAGAAAATCAGGTTGTTTGGGGCTGGCTTGTGCACTGTAGTACTCCTTTAATAATTACAGTAGAACCTCAGGTGTCAACGAGAACTACCCAGGCAAACCCCCAAATTTATTCTCCACTTCAGACCTCAGAGCTGCAGCAGGAAGACATGAGCTGGTGCAGGAGGCCTTCCTCCCAGGAGCTCAACTACTCCCYCCACCCCGCAGCTTCCTACAGTTAATGGGGAGAGGAAAGTACCTGCTGGCTCTTTCCAGCCTTCCTTATAAACAGGGACAATAAAAGAAAGAAARGTCAGATAATGGAGGACAGCATCTAATGGGAAGTCCTAAGACCAAACACAAAGGGGCAAAGGGAGAAGAACCAAAAAGTGAAGACAGAAAACAGTCGGCAAAAGATGTTCCTTCCCCTCAAAATCCAGTGAATCCCTAAAAGAGAATAGGATGTTCTGAGAAAAGAATAGGAGGCATCCAAGGTACAATAGAGACAACCACAGTTTAAAATATGACTGCTGAAATTCAAAGAACGTTTTTTTAAACCATAGATATACAGTTGTGGACTGCATAACAGCATTTTGGTCAACAACAGACCACATTTAGGATGGTGGGTCTCATAAGATTGTAAGGGAGAGAGCTGGGGTTATAGTGATAGAGTGCTTGCCTCGTATTTGCAAGGTCCTGGGTTTGATCCCCAGCACTGGGGAAAAAAAAAGATTATAATAGAGCTCTGAAATTTCCCTATCAAATAATAATGTTGTAGCCCTCATGACATCATAGCACATCATCACATGTTTGAGGTGATACTGGTGTAAACAAACCTACTGCACTTTCAGTTATATAAAAGTCCAGCACATATCATGAGGTACATTGCAGAATACTGGATGAGGTATTAAATAACTATGTTATTGGTTTATAAATTTACTATACTACACTTTTGTTGTTATTTTATTTTATTTATTTATTTTTTAATTTATTTTTTAGTTGTAGTTGGACACAATACCTTTATTTCACTTATTTATTTTTATGTGGTGCTGAGAATTGAACCCAGGGTCCTGCACATGCAAGGTGAGTGCTCTACTGCTGAGCCACAACTCCAGCCCATATTGTTATTTTATAGTGTACTCCTTCTACTTGTAAAAAAATAAAGTTTATTGTAAAATAACACACTCTTGTTATGCCAGTAGCAGCCCTCAAACATCTCATGTTTATTGTGCCTCTTGTTTGCATCATTTTCTCTTGTGCTTGATTTAATCTCATGTTGTTTTGTTCMTTATGGCCCTAGGAGCAGAAAGCTGTGTCATACATTAGGTACTATATAGCTTTGGCATAGGAGGCTATTCTGTCTGGGTTTGTGTAAGTTCACTTTATGATATTTGACAACCAAATTGCCTAATGATAACTTTCTCAGAATACATTTTCATCACTAAGTGATCCTAACTGTATATAATATAAAGAGAGTATTAGGACTCAAGGAAATCTACAAATAACAAAGACGAATTTTAAAAAGTAAAGAAAACATAAAATCAATAAAAAGGCCCAATATTTAACTATTGGGAGTTTGTTTTTTTTTTTTAAGGACAGGAAAAGCAGAAAAGATTTTATTAACAGAATACTAAGTCTCAAGATGGAACATGCCAGGCTGGGAATGTAGCTCATTGGTAGAGTGTTTGCCTAGCATGCATAAAGACCTGAGCTCTAGCTCCAGCACTGCAAAAACTAAAGAATAAAAATATGGAATGTGCCTACCAAGTGCCCAGTGCCATGAACAATAAGATACTCTCAATAAGCAAGAAATCCTAGGGTCTCAGAGGTCAGAGAGGGCTCCAGAGATTCCTTAGCAGCACTAAGGACCTTACTTTCTGTCCTTGAGCTCCCAGGGTGGAGGTGACAGGGGATGCCTTAGGATCTAATTCTCTCCCCAGACTAACATCCAGCAAGCAAGAAGCCAGATTAAGAGGCTTATAGACCTCTGAGGTACCTCATGATTATCTGTTCTCATATGATAGACTACTCCAAAACTTAGAAATGAAAACACTCATGATTTAACCTGATTTAAGCAGGTTCTTCGGGGTTTTTAGTGGGCTATGTCACCCTCCTTCCAGGATCTGGACCTGGCTGGGATATATTGCAGAGTGTCCAGGATCCTGGGGGAAGCCATATCAGTGGCCATTTCTACCAACTTGGTTTCAACCAGGACTCAGGATTTTTCTGAACCAGCTTCCTGGGGATGTTCACTGAGGAACTTCCACGGAATGAAGGAGGAAAACAAAGAAGAGAAGGACATGGGTCATAGGAACTCAGGGGCAGTGAGGGCAGTGCTGTGGTGGGAGGGGCCCCCAGGGCCTGGCTCCCGCCCCAGCTCTCCCATTATGACCTCCCTGGCTGTACCTAGGCCTTTGTGACTGTCACCCAGGCAAACCTGTGAGCCAGAATGACACCCAAAGTACCCTCAGTAAGAGGGTGGCAGGTCAGCCAGGCCAGAGCCTGGACCTGGGGTCAGGAAGGGGTCACAGGGAGGGATGGAGGGGCCAAAAACTCTGGGACCATGTGGCCACTCCCACTCCCAGTGTCCCCCAGCCCCAGCCTCGGGCAGCCACGGAGGATGCTTGGATCAGCCCTGCCAGGGATTTGTAAGGTGGCCCTGTCTGGTTCCCATMCCCTCCACTCACTCACTGGAGTCTGTGAGGACTTTTCCAGCCCCGGGGTCAGGGGGCAGGGAGCCCAGGGTGGGGGGTGAGGCAACCAGGGTCTTTCTTTCAAGTGAAGAARGAGAGATGCAGTGGCAGAGAGTGAGAGAGCCAGTAGGGCCAAGACAAAGAGAAATGGAGGCAGAACTGGGGTGGGGCTGGCCCCTGCACCAAGGGCAAGAGCAGGGGCCATTCAGGCAGGGGGGATCCCCCTGTACAGGGCCTAGACCCTGCCCATGTCCAAGCCTTCCATTGGGAAGAGGGGTCCCAGCCTCACCCAGAGTAGCCCCCTCTCAGCTCCAGAGCGGGCCGCTGGGGTCTGCAGAACAATCCTTTCTCCAGCTGGAGCAGGAGAACCACAGCCTGGTAAGTACAAAGCCACCAGCTGGATGGGCTCCAGGCTGATCCTAGCTGCCCAGGCCTTTACCTCACCTCAAAGCTCCAGACCCTGCCTCAGTTTCCCACATGAAAAGCAGTCATGATAGATGACCCCATCTCTCTGTCTCCCAACTCCAGAAAAGGCAGAACCAGGACCTTCGGGAGCAGCTGGGGGTCCTCCTGGGTCCAGGACAGCAGTTCCTGCCCCTGTGTCCAGAGCACTCAAGTTGCACAGCCTTGGCCTGGGTGAGAACAAGTGTGCAGCCCTGTGACCCTGCACAGCAGCATCCCCCCAGCTGCCCAGGGCTGCAGACATTGCCCACAGCCTTGGGCTGATCTAGAGGCTCTCCCATAGTCCCCTGAATCAGCCAGCACCCGGCCCCTGGAGGACAGGACACCTGTTCAGCTGCTACGGCGGGAGCTGTGCCAGGGGGAGGAGGCCTTCGTTCGGCAGTCTCAGGTGGGCTTGGCAGTAGGGACCTGGGCCCAGAGAGGGGGTTCCCGTGCCCATACTGTCTCTCCTCATCCAGAACGAGCTACAACAAATAAGACTGTCCTTTGAGAGGAAGAAGATGGCCATCACTGAGGTGCTCACCCAGACCAGAGTGGGAGAGGGTATGAGGGGATCCCCACTGGTAGATCCTGTTCCTTGAACATAATACAAACTTTCCTACTCCCAGGTATGGGACGGTGTGGCAGAGGTACACATGGCTCTGAACAACCAGGCCACTGGGCTCCTGGTAAGTCCCCAGGAGGATGAGGAGGGCAGGGCAGGAGTTAGGTGGTGGTGAGAGGCAGGGGAGGGCAGCAGGTAGTCAGGGTGGAAGATCTGTCTTACCTCTTCTGTCCCCCAGAACCTCAAGAAGGACATCCGGGGCGTGCTAGAGCAGATGGAGGACATTCAGCTGGAGATTCTGGGGTGATGTAGGGGACCAGGGCCTGACTGAACCAGGTCGGGATGGGGTGGATCAATGTTTGATCCCCCAGTTCCACAGTAGGGGGTGGCACAAGTATGGGGTGAGGGGCACATGGTCCTGACAGTGCGGCCCCCCAGGGAGCGGGCCCAGTGCCGCACCCAGGCCAGGAAGGAGCAACAGATGGAGTGCACGGAGGTGAGCTCCCCACCCCAGGCCACTCTTCCAGTTTGGAGACCTGGCCCAGGGGTACTTCTGGGGGGGGTGGTGGAGAAATGGTATCTTGACAGCAAGCCCCAAGGTGGGATCCTCCTGAGGAACCAGGTGACCAGAGTCATCGTGGAAAGTAGTTGCAGAAGGTGGCCCCTGCGGGAGGGATGGGGCAGGGGCACAACTGGGTTGACTGTATTGAAATCCCTGTCTATTGTGGGTCCTCCAGAGTCAGGGACCCCCACCCTCTGCCATAGCTCTCAAGGCAGGCTCTGACCCAGCCCCCTCCCCAACAGAAAGGGAGGCCACAGCTGGAATGTTCCGAGGGCCTCAAGGGCCAGCTCTGGTAGGTCACTTTGCAGGCAGAGCCCAGTCCCCCTGGGAACGTCCCTGTGGGCACCCCCTGCCCCTGACCACCACCGCCCGCAGGCTGCTGGCYCTGAGGCTGCTACTGGGCGCCCTGCTGGCCTGCACCGCTGCCTACGTGTACGTGGTGGACCCCGCACCCTTCGAGGGGCTAGTGCCGCCCCTGATGAGCCGAGCCGCCGTCTGGAAGCTCCGGGCCCTACTGGGCCCCTTCCTGCGCCTCGAGGTGGACGACTTCCTGCCCTTCTAGGCCGGAGGCCCAGCGGCCCCAGCGAGGAGGAGGCCAGGCAGCCACCGGCGCTGCCCTGGGTGCCCACTGGCCCCGTCAGCCCCTGGCCACAGCACTGCTGCACACCGTCCCTGCCAGGAGCTGCGGAGAAGGGTGGAGGCAGGGTCTGTCCTGAGGGCTGGGCCTGTGGCTGGACATATAGTCGTGACATGCTTGGTGTGTGAGCTTGTTTCCATGGAAACAGTGTGKAAGGGGCATTTTGGTGCTTCCTAAAGCAACCTATCCCAAGGAGCCCTGTCAATCTGGCAGTGGTGGGGAGGGGTCCTTCAGGGCAGCATCCCTGCCTCAACCGCAAGCACCAGTGTTGACTCCCATGTCCCATATTGCTGCCCTCCACCCCAACAATGATGGTTTCCCCTGAAAGGTATCTGCACAGTGAGAACCAGGGGTCCATGGTTCAGGCCCTCCCAGGTACCTCAGAGGTCATGCTTGGATCCCTGAGTCTGCTGACTCAACTGACCTTGTAGTGTTCCCATTACCCACCATTCCCCTCCTACCACCCCACTCCACTCTTCAACCCASTCCAGCTTCCTGGCACTGCCCAAGGCTCAGACAGGGGAACCACATTGGTGGACAGAGCCATGGAGGTAAACACCAAAAATTTTATTGGGGGAATTTAAATGGAGGAAGTATCCCTTAGAACAATAGAGAATAGCTTTGTGGCTTTCTTGTCCCAAAATGGGAGAATAGAGCCAGTGCCCAGGGTGGATCCTGGGACAAGGACCCTACACAGGAGGGTCATCCTGCTCTGCCTCTGGAGGACAACCAGGTCCAGCAGGCTCAGAGATTGCAGGACTGTGGACCATGGATCACTCATCCCTGGACACAGACAGACCAGGTGGAGCCAGAGCAGAGATACTGATGGAAATCCGGTGGGCAGGCAAGGGGCCCAGCTGGATGGGCTGGGATCCCAGGGCTCACCAGGCTGGTGGCTCTAGGAAATTAAGGCATCTGTTTATGTTCTGGAGAGGCAGGGTAGAGGGACTGTAGTAACTGGCAGGGGAAACCTGAGACCCCCTCCCCAGCCCAACCCACAGAGGCCCAGGCTCCCCAGGAGGAAGTGGCTTAGTCTAAAGTGCTTGGTAGGATAGGGAGGCTGGGGTGAATGTCATGCTGGTCACAGCAACTCCAGGGCCACCCTCAATGGGGTACTGGACCCCCTGCAGCAGGTGGAGGACTTCCTGAGGTCACCTGGACACAGGGTCACAGGCCCTGGCAGTCTTGAGTCAGTCAAGATGTAGCTGGTAGAGACAAGGACCCACAGTCCATACCCAGCCCCACCCCAGGGTCCATGGCAGCCTGGCTTCCTGCTTCTCCAGTTGGGCTGTCCAGGGCCCCAGAGCTGCCCACTTGCATCCCACTAGGGTCCCGAGAGGCTGGGGAAAAGGCTGGAGGCTGCCGAGTGTAGGCGGCACATGGTCCCACGAGGGGGTGCCCCAGCAGCCTGGCTCCAGGGGGCCCGCAGTGGAGGGCGGTCCTCAGGGAGGCCAAGATGGCACAGGTGCAGGCCAGGGGTCCCCCTGGGCTGGCCACGCTGCCCCCATCCACGGCTACAGGTGCCTATTCGCCCCCTGTGGGCCACGGCATCCGTGAGAGAGAAGCAGAAAGGGTGGAGGTCAGCTTAGGGCAAAGCTGTGGGGTCCAAGGCTCAGGGAACCTCCCTTTGGGTCCCTGAGCCTCCCCATTGCTCCTACACTGGGTCTGCCCCAGTCCCCTCAGTCCCTGCCAGGCTGTGCCAGCCCTGAAAAGCTGTTGATTCCTGGAACTCCCCAATCCCATCTCTAGCATATGGCAGACAAAAGTGACTGCCTTGAAGTTCAACCTTTATCCAAGCCAGCACCCCATTCCAACTCCCTAGGACAGATGCCTCATGCTTACCAGTTCTCACCTGACTCGGCTTCATCAGCAGAAATGCACACAAAGAATGTGCTACCCTGAGCCAATCAGCTACCCCCTGGGGCCCCTGCACCCACAGCCCTGACCTTGCCCAAGTAAAGGATCAAAATGACTCTTAAGTTCTTTTTTTAATAAAATTATAGATATATAGATGTAGATATAAAAACATAAAACAGACACAACGCAAGCTGACGCTGCCATGTGCTTACTCTCAGGTCCCTGACACCAGGGGAAGCACTGGTCCCCCCCTCCCCAATGTGCTTTCCACATGGGACCGGCCGGGTTAGAGCCAAGGACTGCGTATGATTTAGGGTGGGGATTCTCCAGTTTAGCAGGGAGGGTGATCCAGGTCTCACTGGCCTCCTGGGGTTGTGTGTGACCCCTGTGCCTGTTCCCATTACTTTCTCTCCCCCCCCCACCCCCCGTCGCCTCCCACAAGAGCATAAAGCAGAAGTTAAGGCTTCAATGAAAGGGACAGCGGCGGCCGAGCATTAACACATCAGACGTRGCACGGCAGCACAGCACGCAGACACAGGGACACAAGCCCACTGGCCAGGCAAGACAAAATGCACAGAGCTAGGGCCCGTGCCACAGCTGGCTGGCTGTCCATCTGTCCATCCATCCGTCAAAACCCAGAGTAGACCAGGACTGCAGAAGCATCGGCCTTGCCAAGCTACAAGCTGCCAGCTGGGTCAGTGAAAGGCAACATGTTAGGAGCAGCTGGGAGGGCAGGGCCCCAGGCACCCTCTGAAAGGGGAGGAGGTAAACCCATGGGATTGTTGGAGACTAGCCAGGGAGCATGACAGAGTGATGTTGTTGAGCTTGGCCAAGGGAGGAGGCAGTCTGGGTCCCCCTCACTGCCCCATCAAGAACAGAAACACAGGGCCAGCCGCCTGGCACAAACTGCTCAAGATCCTGTCTTCCCCATGAGCAGATGAGTGGATGGACAGGCAGAGGGTGCAGGGACAAGCTTGTGGAGGCGTGGCTCTCTCCTGCTGATCCACACCAGGCTTGGGCGGCCTCCTTTCTCTGGGGTAGAGAAGTCGGTGGGGATGGGGAGAGCCACTATGGGGTCCTGGTCCCCATGGCACCACAGCAGACGGGTGGCAGTCAGTTCTCAAACCGAGATCTCGTAGGTAGTCCCACCCACGCCGGAAACCTTCTTAACCAGCGTGTGCCGGGCAGGGCTGGCGGAGGGTCCCAGAGGACCTGCAGCAGGCCCCAGTCGGGTCAAGCCTGGGGACTGCCCGTTAAGCTTACTTGGGGGGGTCTTCAGCTGAGGGTGGTCTCTGCATTAAAACAAGCACACACACATACATACACWCAYGGTGAACACAGGATGGTGGGGTGACAGGACACGCAGACATGGACTGGAGCCCTCTGTCCTGGCCTCTTAAAGAGCGTTTGTGCCATCACAGGAAGGACAAACATGTCAGAACTGCTATCATCCTCCTGGTTGCCTCAACACCTCCCAGCTGGCAATGACCAGAGAACAGGGCAGGCAGGTGGACATCAAACTGGAGTTCTAGGTCCTGCCCATGTCATGGTGCCCTGAGCTGGGAAAGCCACCACCGGGTCTGCTCCCCATTCCCTCTCAGAAAAATGAAGGGCTGTTCTCCTGCTACCTGGCCTGTCCAGTGCTGACCATGGTGTTTCTGACTTCACTACTTAAACATTCCTAAAGGCAGGAGTCCCTCCTTTCCCCAACTACTGTCCCCGCCTTACCACAGCCACATCCCTAATCCCAAGAAAAGTAAATGGGCTCCTGGCCATATGTAGGGTAGGGAGGCCAGGTCAGGGCAAGACCACTGGTGACTGGGCTCCCACTCCTTTGTGGCCAAGTGGCCTGGATGAAAAATTCTCCCCTTGGGGCCTCATCTGCCAATCCGAAACAACTGAGCCTGAGCTCTCAGGACCTGGACACAGCAGTTCTGTGACCTACCCAACATGAGAACTGGACCCAAACAARGCTCAGCTCTCCTACTTGGACCTGGCTCTATGAGGCAGAACCAATTACCAACCCACCAGAAGCCTATAGCCAGTCTTTCTATAAACAGGGAAGCATCTGTTCCAGGGACTATGTGCCCRAGGTGGCACATTTCACTATAAGGAGATGTCCCCCAGTCTCAGCCTCTGGAGATGCATGGAGACAGGCCCAGGGAGAGTGCCAAACAGACTGAGGAAGGTCAGAGCCCATGGCCCAAAGGAAACCCATGCAGCCACATGGTACTAGTTCCGGAAAAAAAAAGGTACCAGTGCCCAGTTGCCCTTCCACATTTTGAGCCTGCACCAGCTCTGGGAGAATGTGATATGTTGATCTCAGGGTACAAATCTTCCTGCTCCTACATATGAAGCATGCCCAGGGCATCCTCAGAACCGAGCCACTCTCACATGGATAACTGAGAAGTCTTCAAGGCAGGATGAGGCCCACCCTCCTTGTCCCATCCCAGCAGGCAACCAAAGGGCTCCAGGACAACCCTTGAGTACTGGGCCAAGAGGAGCCCTGCAGGTGGTTGGATGGCTGCCCTGCACTGGGAAACCCACCCACACCTCTGGACACCCACCTCTGCACAGCCAGCGAGGGTGGCCGTTCCGGGAGGTCCGTATGGATGAAGGCGACAGCTTTGGGGCCCATGTAGGAGGGCGAGCAGGGAGTGCCAGGCGGGGAGGGTAGACCCTGACGCACAGGCGACCTGTGTGAGCCACTTCCAGGCCGGGGCCCAGGGGCGTTGTTGTTGGCCTGGTCGGCCTGCAGGGAGGAGGAGGATGTCCGTGGTGCCCGGCTCACAGAGCTTGACAGTGAAGACAGTGATGTCTGCAAGGCAGGGTTGCGGGCACCACCAAAGCCAGGCCCAGCCACAAGGTCATCTCTGGAGCCATAGCGCAACACAGAGCCACGAGGACCCTCAGACAGCACACTGGCCTGCTGCAGGCTGTAAGAGCTGGGTGTGTCATAGACTCCAGAGTCACCAAAGAGTGAGTCGGCCTGGGAGCGCAGCAGCCGCTCACGCTCCTCCCTGTCCTTGCGCTCCTGGATGGAGGCCATGATGGTCCTCGACAGGTTG